CCCAATTGTCCTCCTTGCCTAATCATCAGCTGTTTGGAACCGATTTCGCAAGTGTGAAACTCGGATATTGCGGTTTTGTCGAGCTGTTATCACAGGTGGTGCACCAGGTCACGGACGATCAGCAACACTTCTGGTAGCCCGAAAACGTTGTCTGAGTCAACTTACAGTGGATGTATGCACATTAAGTGCCTGGCAATCATCACATCTGAAGCACCTTGGCTGACCATACCGATAACCTGATTCCTTTCGTCTTGTGTCAAGTGTGGCATTTTCTCAAAGTGATTGAGTTCCACGATTCCTTGTGCTTTTACAGGGCCTGGGTGCAGGTAATGCATGTATGTGCACAACGTGTTTCATGAATGTGGTTGTGTTTACGAGAAATGTCAAAGGTTCAGTTTTAAGTATCAAAGTTCATGCGAGAGAAATGCTGTGGGACTCAAACTCGAAATGGGCCAGAATAACAGCCTTTTATTCCTACATCCTCTGTATCGCAGGCAAAAATCTTCAATAGAACTTTTGTGAGTTTCAGGACAACAAATACCAATTGCGTTTTTAATGGCTTACAGTATATTTTGGCAGTGATTTGGAAAATACATATATACAGGAGCAGGACAAAAGCCACCTGGACAATTGCCACCTACTGTGACCTAGGACAAAAGCCACCCAGTTATTTTACCATTACAGAGAGGACAATTACCACCCTTATTGACTTTTATGAAATTTTTTATGTAAATTCTGTAGTGTTTGATTTAAAAAGAATTGGTTTTTGATAAAAACGGTTGACTTTGATAAAAAAGTTGATTTTATTGTAAAATTATGTAGACTTTGATTAATAATTTGGTTTCTTTAAAGATAATGTTCACTTTGATAAAAATGTTGATTTTAATGAAAAATTTGGTGTGTAAATGAAAATGAATCATCAAGCAAATACATCTGGGAAACATGATACACACCATGTATTGTGTTGGTGGTTTTTATTTTTATTTGGGTGGCATTTGTCCGGGTGGCATTTGTCCTTGACTCATATATACTGCAGCATACTTGGAAATATCATTGACTATAACTGACAAGGACTGTGCATGCAGATCCTACTTTAGAGATTTCAAAGCATATATTGCAATGTTTAAGACAGCATGATCAGTCGATGTCATTATTAAAGAAAAACAAATCACTCTAACCATAGAATAGAATAATACTTTAATGCCTTTTCAGGAATTTGTGACACATCAGTAGAGCTACTGACACATCAGACAGATATATAACATATTTAAATAAATTCAATGATTTAAGTATCTTCACATTTGTTTAAAAGAGATATGGTACTTGGAATAAATGATGTACAGGCTCTCTTAGTTTTACCAAAAATGGAACTTTGTAGCAGCGGCCTTAAGGGAGGAGGTTGTATTCCGAATTTAAGTGAGTGAGTGAGTTAAGTTTTACACCACACTCAGCAATATTTACAGCTATATGGCGGCAGTCTGTAAATAATCGATGTCTGGACCAGACAATCCTGTGATCAACAGCATGAGCATCGATCTACGCAACTGGGAACCAATGACATGTGTCAACCAAGTCAGTGAGCCTGACCACCCGATCTCGTTAGTCGCCTCTTACAACAAGCATAGTCACCTTTTGTAGCAAGCATGGGTTGCTGAAGACCTATTCTACCCCGGATCTTCATGGGTCCTTAACGCTAGAAGTCTCAATGAGATGAAATCCACTAGATTGGTTAACTCAATGTCATAATGTTGTTATAGTACATGGTTAAATTTCGAGCTATCAGCTCGACTGTACACAAAGGAAAATGTTGAAGTTTGTGACAGTTCGAAAGCGTGGAGATAGGACATTACCAGACCCATCCTTGGCAGAAACACCCGAGAAACGTGCCCACATGATGGCTGCAAACAGTACCATTCAAGCCAGTATGGATAATATCCCAGACACCATCACAACCAAACGAGGTACGAAACGCAAGCGTGAGAATAATAACTTTTCCCCTACGACTAGAGCAAAAATTGCTAAATATGCCATCGGCCATGGAAATACAAGAGCAGCTAAACACTTAAGTTCAGTATTGGAGAAGCAAATTGGAGAGTGCAGAGTTTAGATTCATGAAAAAATCCTATTTGGCAAAAACAATGTCAGCAGAAAAAAATGAAAACATTGAGGAACGAGAGGCCGGCCTTTCTTGTTAGGAGAACTTGATGAACTTGTGAGAGAACATGTACATTACAAAATCTTGGGCAGAATCACTTTTACAACGTACTGGTTTCGTGAAACGAAAAGGGATGAAAGCTGCCAGAAAACTGCCAGTCAACTTTGATGAACAAAAGGAAGAGTTCATTTCTGATGTGACTGAGTGAATCGTTGAGAAGATAGTGTTGATAATGTTTTAATAAAGGATAGTGCTTAGAGACAATGTTTTAAGTATGCTGCATTTTATCTGAATATTTTATATAATGGTATAATATGGAATAAAGTCTTAAAAAAACACGAAAATTTGTTGCCGTTTCTGCGTCTTAAAACTTTTGCGAGGTCAGGACAAGCGCAAAGTTCGTAAAAATATCCTGCTCGCAATTTTTTTTCGTTTTACAGTACATCAGCAGCTTGTTTGTTATCGGCACTTCAAAGATCTGACCGAATTCACGTGGTAGGTAAGTCGGCTGCATAGAAACGATAGAAGTTTGGTAAACATATCCTTTCTCTCACAAGATAGATACATACACCTCCTCCAATACATTTCCCCGTAGCATCTGAATCTGTCTAATCGAACTGGAGTACCATATCCTTCCAAATACAGGGTGTTACTGTCCACGGAGGGTGATAGCCATGTCTCCGTGAAACATAGATTGCAACTGTCTCTGAAATCATACAAATATAAAGTACTACTAAAAGTTGTAAGGAGTATTGCATTAAATTTGGAATGGAGTCTCTTTGAAATTTTTCTGAATTTTAAAAACAAATTGCACCTTATAGGAACGTGTTTGTATCTGTTATCTTTGTTACATGAACAAAGGAGTTGGTGTATAAGTGAAACTCTGTGAACTGTAGAATACATGTCTTTGAGTAATTGAAATATGTTTTAGTTGTTTGACAAATAACACCATTTATTAAGACCTAGGAATGATGTCTTAGTTTGGCTAAGAAAGATAACAAAGATAAGATAAACTTTTGAAAACAAACATAAGAGGTTTTTTTCACTGATTCTGAAATAAATTACGTTGAATTGTTTATGAAAGACAATTGGTGTAGAAACACAACTTCCCGAGGGAAACTTCAGTTTCAAATTTATTATATTAGATCAAGGTATTCTGAAAATGTTTGACTGTACTTTCTTAAGCATTATAATATATGCTGAAATTTTATTAGATCAAAGCTCTTTGAGTATGTGTGAATGTAACACAAGTTCTGCTGTATAACAAAAGAAGTTTCAGTCATTTTATCTATCATAATCCATTCTGTTTTTTAGAAATTGTAAAGTATCAGGATTCATATCACATAGCCACCATTGTATCATGATCATAATCTTCTCGCAGGTTCCTTTGCAATGCATTCATGATATATCGCCTCGCCTCATTAAACTGGTATTGGGATATATCGTCTCGCCACTTAGGCCATGATATACAGCTATAAAACCCAAACCATAGAACTCTGCACAACAAACCCAAAAATACAAGGAATGTGCTCAGTAGACTAGCTTCAGTCAAGTTTTTATGTTTTGAGGCAAACTGAAATTTGCATCCTATTGTTACAGATGATATACATGCCAGTGTTAAAAAGAGCCAAGATAATATAATTATGCCTGTCGTGTGATGCCACCAGAGTTACTCGTGGCATGCCACATACCACTATCACATCTTCATATCTCACACAGTCTATTCATGTGCTTTTCATCTGTTTCATTTACCACAAGTCAGAAACATTCAGATTACCATAAATTGGTTAATTTTCATTGAGTAAATAGGACAAAGAGTAAAAGTCAAGTGACATTTGCATATTTACCCTCCACTTACTGTCACTTTGATGTGGAAAGCTATATTATCATGTACCTCATTATCACGGTTGCAGTTTATAATTATGTCCAAACAAAATGTAACAGCTTGCACAATTTCAGAATAAGCGTGCATGCTCAAAAACAAGAGAAGTCTGGTCATGCGATCAGAATACAAGGTAAGTGTGGACACTAGAGCAGAATCTTCTCTCGCTGAGACAAGGAATCTTGTGGATGTATTGGCTATTTTTTGGTTTGGTTCAGTAAGCACGAGATCAGTTACATGAACGCTGCATACACAGTTGGAGCCAGTTTGCACTGCAGCCTTGCCTATTTTACACTGATGTGACTGCATTTGTATTTCACAGCTGTGTACCTGTGACTGGGACAAGAAAGTAAATCAAATATATACATAACACGTGCTAACGAAAAAAAAGCATAGGTTTGGTCATGGTTTGGATCAATGCTACCATGTTTGGCCGAGTTGAGCTCTTTTCGGTAACAACAAGTACCTGCATATTCTCCGACGAGTAGGGTTTATTAATAAAACAGCAAATCATTCATTTGTTATTCGTTTGGCTATCCGATAGAAAACTTCATTCTGTTTAACCTCAAACTGAAAGCTGAAACTGCAACATTCCTGAATCCTGACCTGCATATGGGACGCATTTACAGTTTCAAGCACGTAAATGACCAATGATTGAAACAAATTGCGCCTCATGTTCGCACTATAATGACATAAAGGAACATTGGAAGTGCCTTATTAGTGATTTATTTATGTTCTTTCTAAATAATGCTTATTTTCTACCTTGAAAAACCCTGCATCCGACATGGTGGCTTCAACTTCTCGCAAGTTAACGAACAGCACGTGAGCGGAAAAGGAAATAGGTGTCCGGAAACGGAAGCGGGAAATTCAAAATGGCGAAGAGTGTGTACAGTATTTTCGAGATTAGCATCTGTCTTGTTCTCATGGCTTATTTCATTTGGACGTTATGCCCTGCTAAAGCAAATGGCTTGCTCACGACCTGTTTGGTACTTTGGAATCATTGTTCTTCTATGTCAATATCTTGTGGCGTCGGATAACGCAGCAGATGACAAGCTAGCAGAGGATGAACCACAGGTGATTTTTCTTGCAGTAGACTAGTTGCACCACCGCAACAAAAATACATTGGTTTTGCTGAAATTGTAGTCTGATGAACATGACATTAAATGATATACATTTTGTATCTCAGAACAATCCACATGTTGTGACTGTCACATAAGAAGATTTAGACAAGACAGAATTTAGAAAAGACTTTCGTGTTATTCGGGAAATAAACTTGGATCAGTGATATGGTTTAGACACGAAACACGTTGTCTATTTCGGATTTCTTATCAGTCACAGTTATGGGACATTTGCATTGGACAGACACTGTCTGCCATAGAGGTCTTGTGCTGGGCACATAGCCTTGTTCTGGCAAAATTCAGCTGATTTCTCCCTGATATTGTTTGCTACTCCATCATCATTGGAGTAAGCACCTGTTGGATGAATCTTGAAGGTGATTGTGGTTCAAGAGGGGTTATAGCTAAAACGGCACCACAGCAGAACGGCACCAAATTTGTGTGGCGAAAACGGCACCATATTGGCGAAAACGGCTACTGATTTCTGGGCTAAAACGGCATAACAAAAGAAAAATACTGTGACAAAATAACAGATAAATGATTGAATAATAAATATGTTCGGTATAGTGTTGGATATGCCTAGCAACGAAATGAGCAGCCGTAGAAAATCAAATATATAAAACTTGCCTTACATTGAATATATACGTTGATTTGATAATTACTGTAAGCGGTTACTTTTAGAAATGAACTGTTGTAATGAGTTATTCAATGCGCCGTTACCGTATAAAGTAGTTTTCACATCGTATCCTTGAATATAAAAATACATCCTTGTTCTTAAATTTTGATAGTTCCAACATAATAGTAGATGTATTTATTATCTGCAATCCGATTATCTTAGAACAAACTAGTTTTCCCCATAAGATTTTAGTTTGTGCCGTTTTCGCCATAAGATTTGTAGCCGTTTTCGCCAAGTCGAGGTTCCGTTATGTCCAAATGGTGCCGTTTTCGCCAGGTGCCGTTTTGCTGTGGTTCCGTTTTAGCCTGCACCCGTTCAAGAGGGCTGTTTGCTTGTCCACTGAAATATTTTATTTTCATAATCTAAGTGACAACTACAACAGTACCAATTTCATACTTTGCTGCTTTATCATGTTTATACAGATCCATGGATGTCAATATGAGAATTAAAACAGTTCTGTGATGAAGGAAGTGTGTTAACTGTTATGAGATGTTCCAGTAAAGCGTAAAAAACCCAAGGTGCTCTCATAATGTATGTGCAAGGGTTATTGTTTATATATTGAAGTTTTTTGTAGATTTACTTATACCGGTACTACTAAACATATTTTCTGCACATGATAGGAAAGTAGGGTTAGGGTTAGACAGATGAGTTAAGGTTGTTGTCTGATAGTATCTGACATGATTACAGAGTATTACTCTGATGCAGTGGCAGATCCAGAGGGGGGGTTCAGGGGGTTCGAAAATACACACACACACACACCTTTGAAAATGACTAAAGACCACATTGAACTTAATGTTTTGCAATGGCGGAGCCAAGGTGAGGTTCAGGGGGTTCGAACCCCCTGAACCCCCCCTTTCAACATTTCTGGATCCGCCTATATGATTTATTCATGAAAATGTAATACAGGTTAATACAGGTTAAAGTTTGACACTATATCACAATATAAAATGAAAGTGAACATGGTGAATACAATTACATCATAACATAGTGCTTACTTATTGTCATTTTAATTTGGACCGCCTCCGTGGTGTAGTGGTTAGAGCGTCCTCATGGAGAGCGGAAGGTCGCGGGTTAGATCCCCGACCGCGTCATACCAAAAGACGTTAAAATATGGTACTTGTTGGTCCCTGCCTGGCTCTCGACATTAATGGGTACAACAAGGACTGGTTGGCTCGGAGTCAGTATACTATGTCTGAGTGGGGTATTCATGCGTCACTGCGGCATGGTATCTCAGTGAGCTAGCACTATAAAACCAGCTTCAGTCTGGGCTAGTACAAGCAGCCGCACATACACACACACACGCATGCACGTCGTCATATGAGCAAAATATTCTCAAGGACAACGTTAAACCCAATTTCACTTCACCTCACCTCACCTCATTTTAATTTGCCAAAGTTATTAAATACCTTTAAACATTTCTTGCATTAAATGCCAATGACCTGAAATTAATCCATGTCAAATTTTCTGAACATTTCCCAGCAATTCCAATCAAATGAATTCTAATTTTAATCATTATTTGAATTCTGATAATTCTAAACTCAATGTTTTGAAATTTTCTCGAGCTCAGTGTTCAACTGTATTTATGTTCATTAATGATACAAGGTGTAAGAAATTGACTTTGGGTTTGTTGAATGAATCAGTATTTGTCCTTTGAACATGTTGAAGATAAGAAGCATAAGATAAGCCCATATGGAGTGATAAGAACTTTTGACGTATTACAGAAGATTACAGAGTATCATCTCTCATGCTACTTTGGATATTTTGCTTCAGGAATATTATCCACATATGACTAACATGATTAATGATTATGTACATATCTGCAGAATAAATTGTCCTACTTGTCCATTAAAAAAACTATCAACTTATGAGCCAAGTGAACTGTTATCCACCAAAATGATAAGTATAAAAGGTACCAGCATCAATGTTAGAAATAAAGGGGACCCTGGGTTTCTTGAGGTTGTTTGGTGTAGTATTAAAATTAAGGGACCTCCTAAATTTATTAACCTATATTTGGGTTGTGACAAGGTTACTTTGGCACTAACACATCAATGGATATTGCTATGAAAGGATTGTTCCTTTTGAGGGATACTCCTTTCAGGCTGAATCAAGGTATTGAATTCATGTACATGATAACATTTAAAAATATTATTACAATGATTGGTACATGTGATGACATGCAACTTTATCCTCTTGTTTGAAGAACAAGTCTAGTAACAAGAAATATTTCTTTTGGTCTTCTGTGTACAGCTCATAATAACCTGTATGTTGAGAATGTCTTGTTTGTAAGTTTTGGGACTTAATCAGACCGATTCATTTTAATGATGACAGGTAAGATGCAAGAGTAGTGCACTTGACAAATATTACTTGTTGTTTTATGCTGTGGAAGATGCAAATAAACATATTTGTGATGTTAGCCCCATTCAGTTTTGGCACATCTGCATTGGTGTGAACCTACAGTATCCTCCGGGTACATTCCTGTGGTTCTTGCAATCTCAAATTACCCGCCCTTGATTTCCATTTGCCAATTTGATTGGCAATACCATTAGGTCTAACATACCAATCAGAATGCAATTTACAAACCAGCCTCAAGGTGTCTTGGCAATATCAACAAAGTGGTGTTAGATGGAATGCATACCGGGGTTAGTTTGGTGTATGAAATGGAGATAGAGAGGATGGTTTGGGCATGATTAGCATGAATACATGCATCAAGAACTTGTTCTTTCTCAGGACATGTATTGTCATTGCAAAATGTTGTAATTTATTATGATATATAGTGACTATTATATTGTTTTGCATTTCCTACATTATACATACTTGTACCAGTAAGATCGGATTCTGTCAGGGATAATGGACATTAAGGAACTAATGGATAAATGTATTGGTGTGTCACTACTGCATCTTTCTGTAATACACAGGCTCCCAGTGGGGAGGATGAAGAACTATTGCCTGACTTGGATGAAATTGAAGAGGATGATAGTTGGAATCCTAATGGAGTGCTTCTGACAGACAACCCAGCTGATTGGCCAGGTCATCTGAAGAACTTCGGTTCAACGGGCAGATACCGCAATGTTGGTATCTACAAGAACTTCCCCAAGGCAACTGTGCTTTTCAGTGACTATGTTGCTCCATACATACCTTTAGTTATGCGAAATGCTTCAACTACAGATGATGCTTTTGCACTTTGGAAAAATGACAGCTACTTCCTTGGTTTGCCTCAAGCGATCACGTATAGGATGCCTCTTACCCCAGCAGCAAATATAAGTTTTAAGGAGTTCATCCAGAGGTACAGAAAAGAGAAGCTGGTATTTAATGATGAAGTTCCTTTTTTCCTTGGGTTAGTATTGTCATCTTAATGCTGCGGAATGTATTTTAAGTTTCTTTGTATTTTATATCTTGATTTCTGCCATTGTCTGTAATTTATCTTAACATACATTTCTTTAACATAATATGTTAATACATCTGTTTCTCACTGAATGGGAAGTATTCAAACATATTCCACTCAAAATGCTGTTTGATAATTACTGTGTGATTCAGAAACGAATTGCAAAACATTTTGTGTTTTAGGGACAATGTGAAAATGCCATTACCATTGTTGTGCGAATCAGTGATCAGAAACCTGTCAAATCATGTGAGTAAAATCATGTATTTAAACTTACACAAATTCCACATTAAAAAGTAACAGATATTGCCATGATTACAGTACCCCTAATTCATCTATTGTATTACATGAGGAGAAGAAAATATAGATTTCTTATATATACAAAATATCATTGAATTGTCAAATAAAGGTTTCTTTTGACTTGTTGTATGGACAGGTCTTCAGTGTTCAGTATGCACCTGATGAGGATGTATTTTTGTTCCTTTAACACTACAAGGAAAGAATCCACTGCTTAGTACAAGTTTATGCTATTGTCTTGTACACAGGTGTTATTCATTGCTGGTGAAGATCAGCAGACTCCGATTGTACAGAGAAGCCTGGACACCATGCGTTGTGTTTATAGTGGAAAACAGAACATCACCTTGGTCAGTCAGCTTGACTTTGGTAATAAGGTAAGTTATTGTTATCACTTCTTATGAGCTTGATTTCATAATCATGTTTTTTATTATTTAGAAGTTTTCGAGGACAGAAAACCTTTTGACATGATTCTTTCTCATGTCCCTTTGGAATTTACCCGTGAAGATCTGGGTTAGAATTGGTCTTCAGTAACCCATGCTTGCCATAAGATCCGACTAATGGGATCGGATGGTCAGGCTCTCTGACTTGGTTGACCTCATGTCATCGTATCTCAATTGCATATATTGATGCTCATTCTGTTGATCACTGGATTGTCTGGTCAAGACTCGATTATTTACAGACCACCATCATATAGCTGGAAACATGCTGAGTGCGGCATTAACAATAAACCAACCAACCAACCTTTTGAATTTATGTAAAATGTGGACTTACAAGAAGGTTTAATAGAGACACTTATGTGTGATGGGTGCAGAAAGAAGCCTCTGGGTTTTCTTTACATAATGTGTTAGCACGATTTGTGTAAGGGTTTACTTCACTGCTGTACAGATGCGGATGAGTATGGGTCAGTTGACGTGAATCAAGTGGATTATGTCAAGTACCCAACCCTGAGAGAAGTGGAGTACCACAAAGCATCCCTCTCTGCTGGAGACTGTATCTTCATCCCACCCAAGTGGTGAGAATGCTTCCTTTGATATTTGACTAATATTTGTCTCTTGGGTGGCTGATATTGCCCATTCCCGAACATGCACAAAGCTGCACCATGGAAAGAGCTCCATGGCAATGAACTTAACGTTGCAATATACCATGGATTGGTTTGGTTTGTCACAAATGACCTCAGCGAGGGCTCAGCTTATTGTTAATTCTTCATAATAAACCAATCATGTTATTTATGTCTTGAAAAGGCCAGAGAAGGGGAAAGGATCTTGTATGACAAAGCAGTCAAAGGGCTACAAATATTGTAATTTTTCCTTATCCTGACTCATGCCAAATGCTTGTCTCCTTCTTCTTGTGAATGATAGTGGAACACTTGAAATCCCTTGAAGTTCCCTTCTAAAAAGCGGACGTAAAATCATCACTCACCCATGAGTAGTCTCCCTTGCCTCCTTTGGCGCCCTTTTTGGTCACATGACCAGCTATGTTTGTCGCTCTCTCCTTCTTCGCCCTTTAGGACGGTTGTGAGAGCACCTGGGTCCCTATACGGCACATATCCTTTTCTATTTTGGACCTTTTACATCTAAATGGCAGCTGTATACAGTTTTTGGATTGTATATTATCAAATGTTTTGATATTATGTCTAAATTATACGTTGTTTGCCATGTTTTTCATCTGGTTTACAATTGATGAAAACTTGTATTCATTGTAGGTACCGGCTGTCTGTGGCTGACCCGCATATATTATGTCCTGATTGCACAACTACATGTTCTTCCAGCTATTGCTGTAAACATTGTCAGAGACTAACTACTTTGAATTTAGTAACTAGCTTTTTTCTCTTCATAGACGTGCAAAGGACTGGGTATGAAGGTATTCACAAGTCATGTCTAAATCGAAGTGATTGCGCTGATAACTGTGTGTTAAGTACTGCTGCCGATGTTCATAATTCCAGTGAATTGCCGAAGCGTTTTACGAGGGCAGGTCGCTGTTCCAGTGATGAACTCCGTCTCGAATAAGTAGAGATCGTCATCAACAGAGCTGTCCTCATCGCAGACGAAGAAGACGAGATCTTCTTCAGCGCAAAAGAAGAAGTCTACAGCTCCTAAGACTTCGTCAAAGTCTCTTCACAGCTCTACGCAGAAGACGAGATCCTTTACTGCCGATATTGTACCTCCAGAAGAAGCAGACATGTATGATGATCCCCCCATCATCATACCTGAAGTCACAGTCGTCAGCAAGAAAACGAAGCCTGCTTCAACAGCTACATCGGCAACTTTATCAGCGCAGACATTGACAGAAGACCTTCTATAAACGCAGACATCGGGTACCAGAGATAGCAGCAGCGTCAACTCTTCACAAGTGCAGCGTACTTTAGAAGAGGCCTCAATGTTCTCAGAAGCATCATAGGGGTGGTGGGGTAGCCTAGTGGTTAAAGCGTTGGTTCGTCACGCAGAGGACCCGGGTTCGAATCCCCACATGGGCACATTGTATGAACCCCATTTCTGGTGTCCCCCGCCGTGATATTGCTGGAATATTGCTAAAAGCGGCGTAAAACAAAACTCACTCACTCACTCACTCACTCACTCACTCACTCACTCACTCACTCACTCACTCACTCACTCACTCACTCACTCACTCACTCACTCACTCACTCACTCACTCACTCACTCACTCACTCACTCACTCACTCACTCACTCACTCACTCACTCACTCAGAAGCATCATCAACCCGGCAGCAGTCACAACAGACATTGCAGAACTTCAACCCAGGGCTGTTTATGCAACAGTTTACAGACCAGATGATGTCGATGATGGAACGTCGCTTCGCGCAGGAGAAAGCTGCTACGAAGACTACTACGATTACTACAAGCCTGCATGAAGATTCAGCAGCCTCTCCAACGCACTTGGAAGAAGAGGGAAGCCTGCGTGAAGGCTCACGCATCCGACGATCTTCCCCGTCTGAAGTTAGGAGCCTGGACAACGCTACCAGCGTCAGCTCAGCCTTAGACGTCCCTGAAGGAGCCGCTAAGAATTCTCCACACAGAGTCAGATCGAAGCGTTCTCCCGAACCCTACAAACGTTGTAGATACGGATCGTTATCACCGTTGGACTTAGACTCACATCGGGAACCTGCACGCAGGCACTCCACATCTCACAGAGGGGAGATTACGTCAATCAGCCTTCTCGAAGGCCTAGAGAGATATCTCGAGGCTCCAGGAGGAATACATGGTCACAATGGGACCGTTCATCTGCACGCAGCTCTACATACAGATCTACATACAGAGACTCACGTCATTATGGATCTTCAGATAGGGAAATGTCCAACTTCACCGTCTGAAATTAGAAGTCTGGAGAACTCTACTAACGTCAGCTCAGCATAGCAGACCCCTCCGATGACAGTCGCCATGCGCGAAGGAATATTAGCCATACAAGCTTTCTCGGATGAAGACCTGCACGAACAGTTATGTTCGCGAAGATCTTTACCGTCAGAAGTATCAGCAGTTAGAAGCCTGGAGGATTCAACGAACGCCAGCTTAGCGTTAGCAGTCCATGATGGAGCCTCCACGCAGTTTCAGCGACTCAGCAGGAAGGATTCTAACACAGAAGTAGATCCTGTCGTTTCTCCAGGATTCTACCTACTGCGCAGATACGGATCTTCCAACTTGGACCTTCATCAACCTATGCGCAGGCACTCACGGGTAGGATTATAATCAGAGTCAGCATGTCCCGCCGTTCAACAATAGCAGATTTCCCCTTCATCATACGGAGCCCTTCATGATACATCAGGGTTTGAGATTACAAGATCATCAGTGAATCCCGTAATAGATCTTCAAGATGGAAGATAAGAAGATAACGCAGCTGGACACTACAACTAGATGTTGGCTTTGTTGGATCAATGCGTGGCTGAAGGAAGAGACGCACACCTGAACTAATGATGTCAGATAACATCCGATGAAACACTGAAGATGAATTTTCATCACATGGGCTTACAAGATATCAAGGGGACAGTTAACAGCTTTGTCGCAGTTCCTCAGCGAGACATCGGCTACGGTCAACTTTACAGAACATCTGTATAAGATGACGACTGCAGTAAAGATTATAAAGTTGAAGAATACAGTCACAACAGACAGGGAACAGTCTGCTTACATCCGTACTACACGGCAAAGTTTTCGCGCGGTTCCACTCAGCCATCTAGACACCTGTTCACTCGTGTAACTCCGGCACAAGCCGAACAGAGAGGTTACGGACAAGGCCGAGTGTTGACGAAGAAATCAACGACTGCACAAGATTCTATGAGGAACATTTACCTGCAACACCGGTGACGTCACATCTGAAATCTGATTGGTCCATGAGAGACAACGCCATGCGCAGAACTCGGTAATAGTCACGTGCCAGGAAGTCGTCTACAGTTGTAAACAACTCTTTCAACATGAGAAAGGCTCCATTTACAGTCCAGTTAGCAGGGAACAGGGTGGTTCGACTATCTTCACGGGTCATAGAGGACTTCCCCTGTCAGCAGATTTAATATTGGTCATCTGGGGACTTGCAGCGACAAGCTTTAAACGGTTTCTGCTCGCGGCAGCCAGTCGACTATAAATAGACTTCACATCGATAGCAGTCCCAGTACATCATAGATTGTTGACAACGTATTATGCATCATTGCTGCACATTGTTCGGATTCTGGTGACAACATCTTCATTACATATTACCGGAAGATTGATGAGACAAGCTTCAAGCCATGATTCCAGAACCGATCATCTCTCCGCTTACGTCCCAGAGGATCGTTGGGTCAAGATACAACATATGATATCTCAAGCAATGCCCTCTCCGTTGACACTATATGCTTGGCAAAGCATGCTCGGTCTACTCACCTCAGCTCAAGACATGACTCGCAGAGGGAGACTACAACTGCGCCCACTACAAATATTTGTGAATGCCCATCTTGACAGTCTGGATCCGCTGATTGTACCGGACAGCCTGGAACCATACCTCTTATGGTAGACTCGGAAGTCAAATGTTTGCAGAGGAAGCTCTTTGTCAGAGCCGGTTTGCAACACTCATCTCTACGTAGATGCATCGCTACAAGGAAGGGGTGCTCACCTTGACAACGAAGTGGCAGCAGGGAAGTGGTCGAGTCAGGATCAGAGTCTGCACATCAATCTGTTGGAGATGAAAGCAGTGATCAACGCTTTACAACACTGGTCCAGCGTACTAAGGAATGCAAGGCTCACAGTCCACACGGACAACTTCACAGTAGCGAACAAGGATCAACAAGTCTGCTAAAACTCAGCTTTCTCCTGTTCAGCATCGTCGACGACCTGAACATCTACATGAAGGCATGCCACATTCCAGGAGCAAAGAATGTCATAGCAGACGCCCTATCTTGTCCACTACAACCATCCCTGACGGAGTGGATGTTACATCCAGTAGTGTTCCGGTTCGTCATACAGACAGTAGGATCTCCGCTGATAGACCTGTTTGCAACAAAGTTTAACAAACAACTACCAACATTCGTCTCACCGATTCCGGATCCTCAGGCATGGGCAACAGATGCTTTAAGCATCTCATGGGAAGGACTAAACGCTTATGCGTTTCCACCTCCAGCACTATTACCACAAGTATTACAGAAAATCAAGCAGACGACAACCTTGCAACTGATTTGGTTACACCCTATTGGACAGCGAGGGTATGGTTTCCCGTCCTCATACAAGAATTCGGAAGTCCAACCCTGAAACTACCAGAGTGGTCGAACCTGCCTAAAGACAAGAGGGAACTCCGCCAGAGCAGCAAAAGCAGTAACACTAGCTCTACGCAGATCAACTCGCAACTCGTACGACGACAATTGGCAGAGATTTGAACAGTATGCAACGAGGAAAGGCTTTACAGCGGTAAAAGCAACCCATCCTCAAGTGGCGGAATACCTGTGTCATCTGCAACAGACGAGACACTTAAAAGGTTCAACACTCTCAACGTACCTGGCTGCGCTCAGCACAGTAATCACCATGAAGACGGGTGCCAGCTGACCGAAGTACCAGTGATACTGGCACTACTACGCTCGTTCAAGTTGGAAGACCAACAAAAGAAATTCAAGCGTCCTGCCTGGGATCTCAACGTAGTTCTACAACATGTCACCAGTGATGCCTACGAGCCTCTAGAACGGACATCCTTTGAACTACTGACACAGAAAACGCTGTTTCTGATCGCCCTAGCAACAGCAGCACGGATGTCAGAAATACATGCTCTGGACTTTGAACAAACATGATTTGAATCAAGATATTGTGACATCGTACATCTAGGACTGAGATGGGATTTTATTGCCAAGAACCAACTGCCCGGCCAGCCTGACAGACAGTTCCACATCCAGCACTTTCTACAGTCCTTGGGCCACAGGATACACAGGATTTATCCTTATGCCCTGTCAGAGCATTGAAAGTATACAAAGGACAAAAACAAGGAGACAAAAATTCAAGCGCCTATTCATCCCCTTATGCACTGAGACGCCCACGGAAGTCTCACGGACAATGATATCAATTTGGATGAGAGCCGTCATACTAAGGGCCTACAAAGCAGCGGGACTTGAGCCTCCACGAGCCTCCCAATCCCCATGAAGTCAGAGCCTTGGCGTCTACACTTGCTCTGCATGGAAACTGCTCGATTACAAGAATAAGGGCTGCTTTTGGAAATCGGACACAGTGTTTGCCAACCATTAGCTCAGAGACATTACCACCGAAGACGTCTAAGGCATTCACCAGTTTGGGCCACTTGTTGTAGCACAACAACTAACGGTTCCACAAAGGCGCTGAGAAAAATCTCACCCTTTTATCACGTGACTTGTGAAAACCAACGCTCTGGCGAGCAAATGGTTAAAGTCCATGCACAAGTCTAGGACAGACTAGCATGAGTGATAGACCCTGTACTTGTCTCTCTCTCTCCCTCCCCCCTCTTGTCTCATCAGATGGAAGTTGGAAGAACAGAATCATCAGCAGTGCAGTCATTAGTTCCCATGGGGGGTAATACAGGACGTAAAACAGCAGTGACAGGAAGTGGCCTGACCCACCACCGATTCCGAGGATTCTGCAAGCATTTAGCAGGAGTCAGGAAAAGGAAAATATGTAATTTTCTGACTAAAATTGATATTTTATACTTATCCTGACTCATGAGGTCAGCCCTCCCAACCTCCCCTCTCAGGGCACTCTGGATTTCCCTGTAAATCCGGTGTGGGGCGTACAAACGGAGAGAGTGACAAACATAGCTGGTCATGGTGACCAAAAAGGGCACCAAAGGAGGCAAGGGAGACTACTTGTGGGTGAGTGATGATTTTATGTCCGCTTTTTAGAAGGGAACTTCAAGGGTTTCAAGTGTTCCACTATCATTCGCAAGAAGAAGGAGACAAGCATTTAGCATGAGTCAGGATAAGTATAAAATATCAATTTTAGTCAGAAAATTACATATTTATAACTAGCTATTGCACATGAAGAGAACTCATGGACAGACCTGATCAAAGGTTATCATTCATATAATCACTATTCCAAATAATAATTGCTCAATCTTTGAAGGAACTGTTGTTGCACAGTGCTTACACTATTGTTGTGTAGTTTTTGGATCCTCCCTGCTATTCATGTGATTGAATTGTTCTAGCACAGTGTTTATAACATTTTACATTAGCATTGACATCCTCTCTGGTATTCATGTAAAGGTGTTTTGTGTGTGCAGGTACTGGCAGGTGAACTCGCAGGAGAGCAGCAAGTCTGTGGACATCCTGTGGTACCACAAGGTGAAGCATGTGGAGACAACAGAGTGTATGGCTCTTGCACTGGAACCCACCATCGCCAAGGCTCAGTTTGCAGATCAGAAGTCATGGACTGCTGCTCGGAAGGACATAGCTCTGTAAGAATAAGTTCTGAAACATTAAAAACTCACTGCTGCATATTATCAGGACCTTTTACCCGCTCCACAAAGCAGTCTTAATGCTAAGATGAAAGTAACTCCCATATTTTAAGATATGCTTGTGACAACCATAGAACTTGGATTACTTTGTTGATTAGGACGCGAGGCCATTGAAACCAGAAAACATGATTTTTAATGCTCTAGGTTCCATTTTTTGTTAAAGAAGACACCATGTGGACCTGGGTCCTACAAGAGGTGATAACTGCATTGGATTGGTTGTTCAGGCTCTGTGACAGATTCAGTGGTGTTGTGCGTGGACAAAATGGGGCAACAATGTGCAAATTAAAGTGAACAAAGCCTTGTATGCAGCTTATTCCTGTTGCAGCCACTACTTCTCAACCTACCTGGTGCTCAACAGCAGCCTCACATATGGGTCGTTTGCAGCAGCCGTAATCAAGGATGGGAAACTGTTCAAGGGCATGACAAATTGGACTGATGAATATGATGAAATAACACATGAGGTGAGCCAGCTGCAAATGGATATACTACAAGACCAGTACAGTTGATTTACATTCACCAAATGAGTGCAACACTTAGTCAAATCTTACTTTCCCACATTTTGAGACACCAATTTTGGGAATATTTTCTTCATTTTAACAATATTTCTAAAAAGTTTTCTGAGTGTCAGTACATTTTCAGCCTCTTAAGGTCTTTGATGTACACACCATTACGAAGTGTTAACATGGTCGTATCACGTATAGGCTTGAACATTTTGTCCTTTGTGAACGTTTAAGTTTCCTTTACTTTGTTTAGTTGCACATGATCAGTGACCCCATCATGTGTTTAGTTCTTGTAACAGCAGGACTGGGGTGGTTCAGTGGTTCTAAGCTTCACAATAGAGAGTTGGTGTCCCTTAGCAGTGTCATGATTTAGGGACCGTTCAAAATTTATGGCAAGGGGGGTGGTGATGATGATTTTTATGGAGAAGCATGTGCAATGTGAATGATGCCCCTAAAATTCATGTACAAAGAAAGCAACCCTCCTGCGTGTCATATACAAAATCGATGTACTGATCAACATGGTGTCACTAATTGTAGTGTCAGCATGTGCGTTGTTCTGTTAGCTGGTATGCTTGTTATGTCAGCATGTGCGTTGTTCTGTTAGCTGGTATGCTAATGACAGCAGTGCATGTTATGTCAGCATGTGCGTTGTTCTGTTAGCTGGTATGCTAATGACAGCAGTGCATGTTATGTCAGCACGTGCGTTGTTCTGTTAGCTGGTATGCTAATGACAGCAGTGCATGTTATGTCAGCATGTGCGTTGTTCTGTTAGCTGGTATGCTAATGACAGCAGTGCATGTTATGTCAGCATGCGTTGTTCTGTTGCTTCTGCTTAGCTGGTATGCTAATGTCAGCACAGCAGTGCATGTTAGCTGTCAGCAGCAGTGCATGTTGCGTCAGCACGCGCTTGTTCTGTTAGCTGGTATGCTAATGACAGCAGTGCATGTTATGTCAGCACGCGCGTTGTTCTGTTAGCTGGTATGCTAATGACAGCAGTGCATCAGCACGTGCGTTGTTCTCTTAGCTGGTATGCTAATGACAGCAGTGCATGTTATGTCAGCACGTGCATTGTTCTGTTAGCTGGTATGCTAATGACAGCAGTGCATGTTATGTCAGCATGTGCGTTGTTCTGTTAGCTGGTATGCTTATGACAGCAGTGCATGTATGGTTGTTTCCTTTCATATTATTTTGTACCTCAAAACATACAAAGAATATGTGATTTTGTACCATGCCATTCTTGACTTTGTTGCAGCTGTTTAATATGCTGGACATTACCAGGGACCACAAATTTAGTATAGATGATTTGGAGAGTCTGACACCTGAGGTAAGCAACCATTCATTGCAACTCTGTGATTTTGTCAGTCTTGAAAGATGAAGTATGGTGTTAAACACTGAAACTTAGCGCTGTTATTATTAATGAATGAATCATATGGTAGTGTAGATAACAAGCAGTTTGTTTCACATTAGACAAAACATTGTTAGAAACTCAGATTCTTCCAATATGTGATAAATAAGGTAAGGTTTCTGAATCAAGCAATATCAACCAGGCACTGATTTTGATCTGAGTTCAGTAAAAAGGAATAGAATACTGGGGGTACAATGCCAACAGCAGTTATTTGACAGAATATGACATTCTTGTCACAAACCATTTAAGGACTGACTGTGTATTTTTTTCAGTTATCTTAGGTATGAATTAAAGAGTTTGAATATCGATATATTTTCTTAATCGGAAACCTTTGTAAAAATCAGACCAGAAAAAGATTATGAGATTGATAACCTTCTGGGCATAGGAATATGTACATGACTGTAGCATGAGTCAGGTTGATTGTTTATTGTAAGTACATAATTTGACGTGTCAGTAGCGAGACAACAGAGAGTAACATCAAACAAAGGTCACAGGGCTAATAAATCAAAGCTAGAAGGGATAAAAGAAGTGCAACAAACTGCAACAGAGTGGAAATATGTCAGGGAGAAGAAGGCTGTTAGTTTCCTTGGGAATGGGAAGACACAGTTGCAAATATGTGAGTTAGAAATAAAAGGTGGTTTGGACGATGGATATTCACTATGATACAGGTCCTCAACATTTCATAGTGGTCAAAGGAGTTTGTTTCTTCGGCTGTGGGAAATGAATGCAATAAATCATGCCCAATTCAGCTAATCAGAATGCTGCAATTACAGTGAACCAAAAAAAGTTTTCCATATCCTGACTCATGCTAAATGCTTGTCTCTTTCTCCTTGCGAATGATAGTGGAACACTTGAAATCCCTTGAAGTTCCCTTCTCAAAAGCGGACGTAAAATCACTACTCACCCAGGAGTTGCCTCCCTTGCCCCTTTAGTGCCCCTTTGGTCACCTGACCGACCATGCCTTGTCACTCTCTCCTTCTTCGCCCTTAAGGACGGTTGTGAGAGCACCTGGGTCCCTATGGCACATAGTCTTTTCTATTTTGGACCTTACATCAAAATTATTGCTGAATACGGTTTTAGGATTGGATTCTACTATATGGTTTGAAATTTGATCTAAATTATACATTGTTTGACATGTTTTTTCATCGTGTTTACAATTGATGAAAACTTGTGTTCGTTGTAGGTACCGACTGTCTGCGGCTGACCCACATCTATTATGTCCTGATTGCACTACTTCATGTTCTTTCAGCTCTCGCTGTAAACATTGTCTGGATGTAACCACTTCTGAATTAAGTAACTACCTTTTTTCCATTCATAGACGTGCAAAGGACTGGGTAAGAAGGTATTCACAAGTCATGTCTAAATTGAGTGATTGCGCTGATAACTGTGTGTTAACTACTGCTGCCGATGTTCATAATTCCAGTGAATTGCCGAGCGTTTTACGGGGCAGGTCGCTGTGCCAGTGATGAACCCTGGAGCTAATAACATCAACGCAGACATCAGGTACAAGAGACAACAGCAGCGTCAACTCTTCACAAGTGCAGCGTACCTTAGAAGACGCCTCATCGTTGTCAGAAGCATCATTATCCCTGCAGCAGTCTCTTCAGACATCACAGAACTTCAACCCAGGACTGTTCATGCAACAGTTTACAGACCAGATAATGTCAATGATGGAACGTCGCTTCGCACAGGAGAAAGCTGCTACAAAGACCACTACAATGACTACTACAGTCCGTTTGAGTCAGAAATGGTCCAATGAATTGCAAATTTTATCATTGTACAAAATTGCCACATAAATATAAATAGGACACATGTTTATCATTTACTAATACCCAACAGCTTTCTTATATTTGAAATTTTTCTGGACTCCACCAAAAAAGCTGTTTAAGAAACTATCATCATTGAAAACGCAAAAGTTGTTATCTGTCGCGGCGGGGTGAAACCGCAGAAACGGAACAGCCACAATCTCGTCGTGCACGGGATACACATGCCTGATGTGAAATGAAGTTGAATGCTGACGTGAAACAGTTGATGATTAAAGTGTATGATTTTTTCCGTGCTGAAGCCGAAAGGGGCAAACCTTTTTATGCCATTAATCAATTCCGTAAGCGCGCAGCAAAATCTTTAGGAGTATCAGCAAGGGTACTGACAAATGTTCTGGAACACAAACATTGTGAGGGTGATGCGAAGCAGGTTGGGGTCATGTCAAAATCACACAAATTAAAACATTTGGACAACTTTCAAAAGAACCTTGTAAGGCAGTCTATCAACAAGCTCTATTCTGATAACAAATACATATCGCTGAAATTTTTTAAAAAGCATTTGAAGCAAGAACACAACCTCAGAGTATCAAAGTACACACTCTGGCGACTCTTACACTCTTCCGGGTATCGGGGGGAGAATAGGTCAGTACTCTGTGAACGCCCTGATATTGTTCGTTTGAGAAATAATTTTCTCAGGGTTATAAAGAAGAAGCGCAAGGAAGGGTTCGAGCCAGTGTACTTGGACGAGACCTGGGTCAATGCCTCACACACTGCCAGCAGTCAGTGGGTACCCGATGGGGGTGATAAGGGGTCACGTAGAAAGCTGCCTCTAGGGAAAGGATAGAGACTAATCGCATGCTGGAGCATCCATGCTGGTTGCTCCAGCAAAGGCTTTCTCCCAGGCTGTGACTTGGTATTCAGGGCAAAGTCCACAGATAACAGAGACGACCATTCCGAGATGAATGGTGTGGTTTTCCTCGATTGGGTTAAAAACAAGTTGGTACCAGCTCTACCAGAGAAGTCTTTTATCGTAATGGACAATGCCCCATACCACAGCATGCAGGACCCCGACAGTAAAGCCCCGACATCGAACAGTCGAAAAGGTGATATGATATCATGGCTCGACAAATTTCAGATCGCACGGCCTTCAAAGGCAACGAAGACTCAGCTATATGAGATGATAAAAACCCACAAAGGTAAACCTTTCTACAAAGTTGACAGTTACATAAAAAGTAAGGGTCACGATATTCTGCGACTTCCACCCTATCACTGTGACCTTAACCCCATTGAAATGATATGGGGTATTGTCAAAGGAGATGTTGCCAGATCAAACACAACTTTTAGATTACGTGACGTAGAGGTTTTGGTTAAGGAATCCCTTAACAAAATCACGACTGAAACTTGGCAAAACTGTGTCAACAAGGTAGCTAACGTCATTGAACACGGTTACTGGTCTCGGGATGGCTTACAACAGGCAACTGTGGCACCACTTGTCATCCCTTTAAGTCGTGACTATGACACAGGTCTCCCGGAATAGATTTTGAGATGTCCCCCGCCATGACTGGCTGTTCCGTTTCTGTGGTTTCAGCCGGCCGCGACAGATAACAACTTTTGAGTTTTCAATGATGATAATTTCTTAAACAACTTTTTTGGTGGAGTCCAGAAAATTTTAAATATAAGAAAACTGTTGGGTATTAGTAAATGATAAACATGTGTCCTATTTATATTTATGTGGCAATTTTGTACAATGATAAAATTTGCAATTCATCGGTCCATTTCTGACTCAAACGGATTATAGCCTGCGTGAAGATTCAGCAGTCTCTCCAACGCACTTGGAAGAAGAGGGAAGCCTGTGTGAAGGCTCACGCACCCGACGATCTTCCCCATCTGAAGTTAGGAGCCTAGACAGCACTACCAATGCAAGCTCAGCCTTAAACGTCCCTGAAGGAACCACCAAGGAGTCTCAACGCAGAAGCAGATCGAAGCGTTCTCCCGAACCCTACAGACGTCGTAGATACAGGTCTTCATCACCATCGGACTCAGACGCACATCAGGAACCTGCGCGCAGACACTCCACATCTTACAGAGGAGAGACTACATCTAAGAATCAACCTTCACGAAGGCCTAGAGAAACATCTCAAGACTCCAGGAAGGATACACGATCACATCGGGATCGTTCACCTGTGCGCAGTTCGTCATACAGATCTTCACACAGAGACTTACGTAGCGTGGATCGTCAGAGCGGGAGATGTCTAAATCAGAGGAAGTCATATTCTCCGATACAGAACTAACCTCATGGATTGCTAATGGCCTGGACCTAGCATCACCTTCCAAGGACACAGACGAAGCATTTACATATAAGATGTCCAACGATGATTTCGACACACTCACCTTTCCACCTATCAACCCGATCTCCCAAGTACCTGACAGCCTCAGCTCCGCCTTTGATAAGGCTACCAAGTTCCAGAACCACCATATCCCGACGTTCAACGCCAGGAAATTCCCCTTACATCACATGGAACCCTTCCTGAAGGCACCAGAGATTGATGAGGACTACAAATCATCAACAATTCCCACTTTAGGAATGACAAGATAGACGACAAGAAGTTAGCACAACTGTATACGACTACCAGACGTACCTCCTTCGGACAAGCCAGATCTAGGGCGATCAATGAAACACTCATCTCGAAGTTCAAGAACTCCACCGACGAAGAGGACCGGATGATATATTCTGCACTACTGACCCAGAAAAAGGGCCACCAATTTATGTCTGAGCATCTAGCATCCACATCAGCGGACCTGACTCTACTGAGGAGACAAGGATTATTGTCATCGTGCACCTGGAGTGAGCGGTTCACCAAGTGACACCTACGGGCCTCTAGAACGGACATCCTTTGAACTACTGACACAGAAAATGCTGTTCCTGATCGCCCTAGCAACAGCAGCACGGATGTCAGAAATACATGCTCTGGACTTCGACCGAACATGATTTGAATCAAGACATTGTGACATCGTACATCTAGGACTGAGATGGAATTTTATTGCCAAGAACCTACTGCCCGGCCAGCCTGACAGACAGTTTCACATCCCAGCACTCTCTACAGTCCTTGGGCCACAGGATACACAGGATCTATCCTTATGCCCTGTCAGAGCACTAAAAGTCTACCTACAAAGGACAAAAACAAGGAGACAAAAATTCAAACGCCTATTCATCCCCTTATCTACTGAGACGCCCACGGAAGTCTCACGGATAATGATATCGATATGGATGAGAGCCGTTATACTAAGGGCCAACAAAGCAGCAGGACTTGAGCCTCCATGAGCCTCCAATCCCCACTAAGTCAGAGCACTGGCATCTACACTTGCTCTGCATGGAAACTGCTCGATTACAACAATAATGGAGGGCTACTTTTGGAAATCGGACACGGTGTTTGCCAACCACTACCTCAGAGACATTGCCACCGAAGACGTCTCAGGCATTCACCAGTTTGGGCCACTTGTTGTAGCACAACAACTAACGGTTCCACAAAGGCGCTGAGAAAAATCCAGAAGTGGCCTGACCCACCACCGATTCCGACTGATTCTGCAAGCATTTAGCATGAGTCAGGATAAGGAAAAATATGTAATTTTCTGACTAAAATTGATATTTTATACTTATCCTGACTCATGAGGTCAGCCTTCGGTCAGGTGACCAAAAGGGCACCAAAGGGGCAAGGGAGGCAACTCCTGGGTGAGTAGTGATTTTACGTCCGCTTTTTAGAAGGGAACTTCAAGGGATTTCAAGTGTTCCACTATCATTCACAAGGAGAAGGAGACAAGCATTTAGCATGAGTCAGGATAAGTATAAAATATCAATTTTAGTCAGAAAATTACATTTTGATGTTATATGTGAATGAATGATGTCGGTTTTTGCAGCGTATGGATAAAATGCGCGGTCACCTGGAGGATCGAATCGCAGATTATGAGGATGTGATGAAAGATCAGCAACTGGAGCTTAAGGAAAACCAGGCTGCAGCATCACAGGCTGCCAGAGACGATATCACAGCACCTCTGTCTCCTGATAGTATACCAATAGTAAGTTCTTGTATTCAGGGATTGTTGAATAATAGCATACCCAGTATGGTACAATGACATGGATTGTTGGCCCATTAGAGGACCCGTTAGAGGCTACATATGTGATTTGTTTTGAAGATGAAGCCAGGGGAGGTCCCATTAGAGGCTACATATAATTTGTTTTGAAGATGAAGCCAGGGGAGGTCCCATTAGAGGCTACATATGATTTGTTTTGAAGATGAAGCCAGGGGAGGTCCCATTAGAGGCTACATATGATTTGTTTTGAAGATGAAGCCAGGGGAGGTCCCATTAGAGGCTACATATGATTTGTTTTGAAGATGAAGCCAGGGGAGGTCCCATTAGAGGCTACATGTGTTATTTGTTTTGAAGATGAAGCCAGGGGAGGTCCCATTAGAGGCTACATGTGTGATTTCTTTCGAAGATGAAGCCAGGGGAGGTCCCATTAGAGGCTACATGTGTTATTTGTTTTGAAGATGAAGCCAGGGGAGGTCCCATTAGAGGCTACATGTGTGATTTCTTTTGAAGATGAAGCCAGGGGAGGACCCAAAAGAGGCAGTTGAGAACTACATCAACAACTACCTGAAGGTGCTGGAAGATGTCATCCAGGAAAGTATGTCTGAGCTGTCTGTCTCAGGCAAAGTGCCTGACTTCAAGAAGAAGTTAGAGAGTCGACAGGCAGAAATAGGTATGCAAGGTCTTCTGCTGTTTTTGGTATTTTTCTGGTTAGAGTATAAGAGAATGACCAAGAACAGAATCACAGGTACTGAATATGATCTGATCAATATGAGAATCCTGCTTTTGTTTATTGGCGATCCAGAAGGCATGTTTGAAACTTTAGATGCATTAAGGTCAAATATCGGTAGTTGACAATTATATAATTTAAGCACAGATTTATGTTTACAATGTTGGAACATGTAGTGTGACTTCCACAGCACTTTGATTACAAACTATATGCTATTGGCTGTGATATAATATTATAATGTTTTTCAATTTATTGAAGTGAGGCATACATTTCCAGACTGCTCTAGATGTTCTTAATTTCAGATGGATTTTATTATCGTATTTTAGTATTTCATTCAATGCAAAAATGAAAAATATTTAGCATTAAAGCCTCTTCCTCTCTTATGGTCATGTTATAGTGAGTGAGTGAGTTTAGTTTTACGCAGCACTCTGCAATATTCCTGCGATATGGTGGCTGGTCATGTTATAAGTGAAGTGACCTCAACTGAGCTATCACATAGGTTGTGAGTATATTAACATGAAATAGGATTCTTTTTCATAGAGATCATCCTTGGGGTACATATATGCATTTTCTGCGGCTGAAAATGTCATGTGACAGTTGTATCAATGTTTTAATAAAAAATATTGTACAATAAATAAAAATCTTTTTCATTTATTATACGGCCCCCACCACGTGGAGTTACCTCCCTGCTACGCATGCGCAGCCAACCAGGTAAGCACCTAGGCCCGTATCATCATTCCTTCTGTTGTCACTCTATTGTTCACACGTGTTTACCCAAGAGTTACTAGCTGATTTACTTCCTTGTAGGAAGAATGTCTGAGACTTCAACTACTGTGTGCTCCCCTTCAGCATATCCACTGCCCCCAGGGTGTTCACCAAGCTCATGTTAGTGTCGGCTACCCTCGCATGGTCGCAAGGAAGGCATTATTACCCTTACCTAGACGACTGGTTACTCAGCGCTCTAACTCAGCCAGCGAGCCTAGATTCTACCCACACGGTGATAGACATTCTAGTTTGACTGGGGTGGATCATAAACCTCAAGAAATCCGACCTGGTACCCACCCAGGACTTGTTTTTTCTCGGGGCGCAGTTCACAACTCAACAGGGTCTTGTCTCTTTGTCGCCCGACTGGGTCACCAGAGTACGGGAGATGGTGTCTTCGTTCCTCTCCCAGCCCCAGGCACCAGCACAGACTTGGCTTCGTCTACTGGGTCATATGGCGGGTGCGGGCGCGGTTGAGGATGCGCCCTATACAGCAAGCTTTGGCGAGTCTGTGGGCTCACTCGGAGGATCTGGAGAAGTGTCTCACAGTCCCCGGGTGGTTGTCTCCTCACCTTCAGTGGTGGACCAATGCTGGGAATCTCTCCAAGGAGGTCCGTTTGGAAATCCCGACGCCAGCTCTTACAGTTCAAACAGATGCGTCCCTCATGGGCTGGGGGGTGTTCTTGGCAGTCTGTCGGTGTCCAGACTCTGGTCTGAAGCTGAGGCCCGCCTTCACATCAATGTCTTAGAACAGAGCTGTGCGGTTGGTTTTCGAGCGCTTCCGGGAGCATGTACAGGGCCAGGTGGTTCGTCTTCAGTTGGACAACCGTATGGCCATGACGTACATCCTGAAGCAAGGCAGCACTGTGTCCCTAGCGCTCCTTCGAGAGACGTGGGAATTTCTCCTCTGGTGCAACTGTCAGGTGATTCCTGTCTATCTCCCGGGGAGACGCTGACGCTCTCTCTCGACGGATCCTGGCCCCGCAAGAGTGGATGCTCGACTGGCAGATATTCGGAGTTATCTCCCAGTTGTACGGATCGTTCCAGGTGGATCTGTTTGCGTCCGGCGGGACGAATCAGATACCCGTGTTCTGCTCTTGAATACCGGATTAGAGGGCGTTGGCTTCCGACGCCTTCCTGCTGGATTGGACGGGCAAGGTGCTGTGGGCATTTCCACCTCTACCACTCATTCCCCGGGTCCTCTCCCAGCTGTCCACCCAGCCAGTTTGGCTACTTGTGCTACTGGCACCGCTATGGCCGTCACAGAGCTGATTTCCGGTAATTCTCAGGATTCTGGCTCAGCCTCCTGTTCTATTACCTTTGCGTCCGGACATTCTCACTCAGAACGGCGTGCCATACCCCAATCCAAGGATTCAGTGGGTGGGTTGGCCTCTGTCAGGTCTGGCCTCGAAGCATGTGGAATTCCTGCAGCATTTGCAGACAATTCTGGCTTCGAGGCGGGATTCGACAAACATTCAATATGAGGATAGTTGGTCCCGCTATGCGCGCTGGTGTTCAGATAGGGGGATTGCAGATCCCTTTTCTGCGGATTTAGTCCGAATATTGGAGTTTTTGCAAGCTCGTTTGGAAGAAGGCTTGGCGGCTTCGACCATTCGTGGCTACTCCACCGCTATTTCCACTTTCCACACCCCTGTCGATGGTGCTCTTCTGGGGCAGCACCCTCTTATGCAGCGCTTTTTAGCTGGCGTGGATCGGGTTAGACCTGCTGTCAGGCGAACCAGCCCACCTTGGGATTTGTCAATCGTGCTAGATTGGTTGTCCAGTCCTACGTTCTCACGTCTATCGGCTATTTCCATTCGGCTGTTAACATGGAAGGCCGTGTTTCTGGTGGCGGTAACATCTGGGCGAAGGGTTGGCAACTTATATGCTATGTCGGCAGACCCGGTACTGACTGTGTTCCATCCAGATCGTGTCAGTATTCACCTCCCGGATACTTACCGTCTGTTCTGCTGTTACGGTGGCGGGAAGGCTGGAATGCCGCTAGCAAACAGACCCTGGCTTGTATCGGTCATTTGTAGTGCTTATCAGGCTAAGGGCAAGCCTCCCCCTGAGGAGTTGAAGACTCACTCGGTCAGGGCAGTGGCCACGTCAAAGGCTTTTGCATCTGCACTGCCCATTGAAGAGATACGCTCTACCGCTACAGGTGAGTGTTGTGGCATCTGTTACTTTCTTCCTAACATTCGCTATTAATGTGTACTTTGACAGAATTCCCTCCTCCCTAGCCTCCGGTCTTTGGGAGTCTGAGTTAATGCATATATGTACCCCAAGGATGATCTCTATGAAAAAGAATGAGCTAAACCTGTAGAGGTTTCCAATTCTTTGAAGAGAATCGTCCTTGGGGTAGGGCCACCCACCTCCCCGCAATTCTGTTCACTGATTTATTCAGCAGAAGGAATGATGATACTGGCCTAGGGGCTTACCTGTTTGGCTGCGCATGCGTAGCAGGGGGGTAACTCCACGTGGTGGGGGCTGTATAATAAATAAAAAAAAGATTTTTATTCGTTGTACAATATTTTTATTAAAACATTGATATAACTGTCACATGACATTTTCAGCCGCAGAAAATGCATATATGTACCCCAAGGATGATTGTCTTCAAAGAATTGGAAACCTCTACAGGTTTAGCTAAATTTCTTTTCCTCATTTGAGAATTTTTACAAACAGTTGTGACAGACTTGGTGCAAAATATCTCCCTCTGAACAGGTGTGGATGAATCCCTTAGTGTCAATTTAATGTCATATATTGGGACGGGATAAAACATGAACCTGATTTTATTATTCCTGTGATATTTGGATTCGCAATTACATCATCTGTGTGATTCATTTTCAGAAGGATCTCAACCATTTGTTCCCACAGGGAACCTGCCCAGCCAAGACAGTCACAAAACAGCTCGAGAAGAAGCTAAGGCTAAAATAAAGGCACAACAAGGAAAGAGTGAGAGAATTTAAGACAAAGATCTTTCTTGAATGACTATATCAAATCATGTAATCACTTCACATGAAATTGTTGTCCAAAAGTTATCGCAGGAGTCTTCTTGAGTTCTGAGATGATTTATGGAGTTCTTGTTTTAATGGGGCGGTGGGATAGCCTAGTGGTTAAGGCGTTGTCTCGTCACGCCGAAGACCTGGGTTCGATTCCCCACATGGGTACAATGTGTGAAGCCCATTTCTGGTGTCCCCTGCCGTGATATTGCTGGAATATTGCTGAAAGCGGCGTAAAACTAAACTCACTCATTCACTCTTGTTTTAATTACATCTAAGTAGATTGGACTCACTAACTTCATAGATACTTACATACATGCTATTATAAGTAGCAGGTAGCATTGAGGATATGATGTTATGTGTTTACAGAAAAATCTTCTGATGGAGAAGATGGAGCTGATGAATTTTCAGACACTGAGACCTACCAGGTTGTGGATGACTCAGTTGTCGAGGAGATACTGGCAGATGATGAAGATGTGGTCCAGAAGCCAAAGTCTGAGCCAAGGCCAGGAAAACCAACAGCAGGAAGTGGGAAGAACAAGGGAAGACAATCCAAACCTCAAGATGGTAAATCAGAAAAGGACAAGAAGAGCTCTGATTCCAGAAAGCCCAAGACTAAAGATGAAAAGAAGGATAAGGCTAAAAAGAAGGGAAAGAAAGATGAGCTTTAGAAAAATGTCTTACTATTAGGTAGAAAAGGGTATTATTTACATCTCATCACAGGGTAGTTGACAGTAGGTTTTTACAGACTTTCATGGTTATATTATGAAGCACAAACTATAAAGATAATCGTCTTTACACATCCTGTATTGAACTTTAGTTTTATTCTTCCCCTTCAGATGGATGGTTTTGGTTTTTTTAAAGTATATGTGAGAGGAAATGATGTTATGCTTCTTCTGGGTTTTTTTTTTTCCTGTCTGAAAAAGAAAGTAAACCTTATAAAGGCTAACATTGCATTGTTGTGTTAGAATTGCTGTATTTTCCTGCATATTTAACATTTTGACAACCAGCATTGCCAGCATGTTAATTTGAATGGAACTCTGTCTAAATGGCTTCATTCTAGCCATTCTAACACCAACCTTGTTCATTTTCTGACTTCAGTGCCATAACATTTAGCAAACTAGCAGTATCTCACTTATCCAGGGATAATATCTAAGATTCTTACAAGACACTTATTACAATGTCTAGGCCTAGTTTGGCCCGCTAAGCTCATTGTTAGTCTATTTGTTTGAAGTCTGTGGTTAAGGTTTGTAACATGTCAATGCTTTGCTTATGACTCTGAGAAATGTCTCTTGTGGCACTAACTATTTCTAGATCTAAATATGAAATTAGCTGCAGGGTATCAAGCATAACCTCCTGTTAATGTTCTCACCAAGGAGGTACATTGCAAATACCTTAGTTCAAGCAGTCTCATTTATCTAACATGCATTTAATCAAGATCTTCATGTTTAAATACCCTTCACTTCACTCATCATGTGCTTGCTGTATCATGTTCCAGGAAACAGTGCTGTGAAGTTATTTTCGGTTCTAAATAAACCAGTTTGGAAATACATGTATATTCTTGTTACCAGTCATTATGAAGCATTTTCTCATTAGGAATAAAAAATTTAAGCACTATGGCACTCATATTTCTAACTGCTTTGTTTATCAGTTCTTGGTAATTCTTATGAAAGATTTCACAAGACCCAGAATCCATAGTGTTTCCTGCAAGTAGAAGTGTGTTTGTGAGTAAATCTACATTTTCTATAGCAGCCATATCTCACTTAGAGTGAGTGAGTTAAGTTTGAAGTCTCATCAGGATTGCTTCATCCATACAAACCTCACCCGGACAAAGCAAGAGAGGCTTCAAATATACTAATAATTTTCTACATAATGAATGATAAACAATGGACCAATCATGATAATTATTCAGTGGTTATAACAATTTACTTTAGTTGACTTGACATGTGTTCAAGTGCAGATAAAGAACACAAGGTGAGATAATAACAGATTTATTTCTGATGCATGAAAACATGGAGATAATAGCATTTAAGTTTGAATGGAAAGTCGCATACAAGACGGAGTTGAGCTGTAAAGGTAGCATGACACATTATACAGATTTCACTGTGAAACATACATGTTCAACAGTGGTCATACACAACAACTACGTTAAAATATCAGCAGGAATTCTACAAATACATACACATGGCAGTTGGTAGTCTAAACAAATTCTGTTGTCTAGTCAGCTCAGTTATCAACACTCCATTTTATACAGATCAACTAAAGTCTACTTAAAATGGTACTAAAGCCATTGCAGTTAATGTCACCTTAAACACTATGACAATGTTTTAAAAAGAATTGGATAGGATTGCTTTTAAATGCATGATTCATCAGAGGTGTGGATGATAAAAATCCCATGACCACATAACAAACATCATACCACACCCCTCCCTATGGGAACCCGTCAGAAAGTCTGAAGCTGATGAAGGCAAATAAGGGCTGATATTCTGGTAGTGTTGGTGGTATAAAATATCACTAGTGTAAATAGCTGAACATATGAAACCCCAAATATGCATGATGAACGGCCAGCCCCCCAGGATTCCTCATGAAGAAATAAGGTAGGGATGTGTCAAATACATAGAAAATATACAAAAGAATCCGACACACTTTCTGTGGCTAATCTATGCTTAAGTATAATTCATGTTTTCCCCTGAATGATCATGGATTTGCAAACACAAACCTTAAAACAGTGAAATAAATTTAATATTTTAGGGCTGTAGTATACAGACAGCAGGCAGTGATAAAAGTAAACGACCAACCGTAATTAGGTATAGGAATTGTGTATGTCTTTTGTAGACATGATCAGTGTGCGAAATAGCCACTGGCCCGCTAGCCTGTGGCTAGTAAAAATCCAGTCAGGCCAGTAAATCTTCACAGTCACTGGCCCGACTGGCTAGTGAATTTTCATGGGGTCATTTTGTAATAATATCACTCTCTCAAATGCAAGATTATGGCCTGATAAAAAATGTACATCATATTAGCAGCTTAATGATGAAACCTGTGTCATGCCGACAATATTTTATTCTCGTCTATGTCTGTAATCTTTTGTTTAGTTTCTACATCCAAATTTTGGGCTAGTGAATTAGTTTGTGGGCTTGTAAGTTTCAGACATAGTTAGCCTGACTGGCTAGCAAAATTTGAAAAACTATTTCGCACACTGGACATGATAAATTCAGAGTGGTGCATATTTATGGCAGAGGAAAATGGACTGGGGATTTTTTCATTCATGTGGAGTCATTGCTGAATATTGAACATTTAATAAGAGTCATAACAACAATGAAGCTTTCACCAACGGAGAGAAATAACATGAATAATGGAGAAATAATCTGAAGTCTCTTGGAAACTGTTCCAATGTTAGATGATGACAGCACTAAAAGGAGGACCAGAGCTCCAGATAAGATTTAGCTAATGTGGGTACTGTACCCACTGTATTTTTTTTGGAGTGGGTATTATGAATGTTGAGTGGGTATTTACCCACTGCTTTCAAATATGTGCGTATTTCAGTCATTTTACACACCTAAGTATTGTGTCATTGGGTTTACTAAGCAGGTATGTTCTGCCTTATGTCATACCTAATCAAAACCAACTTAAATATAAGGGAAATGATTTCATAAAAAAATCAGTCATCCTATACTGACAGTACAATTTGATAGCAATCGATGTCTTTTTCATTACGCAAGCGATTTTTATAAGTATATTCCGTACGCATTTGTTTTAAACTCTTTGCGTATCTAACAGTTTAAATGCGTAATTGGTACGCAACAATTATTTTTCAATGCGTAATTGGAAATTTTCTATGTGTCTTTTACCTGGATACGCAGCTTATCTGGGCCTCTGGAGGACAACATGGGTGTAGCATTACAAGACCAATGTTTCAACTATATCACTAACAGAGTGTTAGGATGACAAAGTTTAAAAGAGCCACCAGATGCCAACCATGCATGTAAACTCCATATTGATGTGAACAACAATCAATAAAGACAAGTGACAGTTGGAAGACACAGATCACTCACATGAAGCAAGAAGTAGTCACACAAAGCATAAGCTAGCCCTGAATCAATAACCTCAAAATATAAAATATAATACCTTTGCTCAAGCTAACATCTTTCATAAGAATCCAACAGCATTAGAAAAAGCACTATGATTGTCATTTCAAACAGGCTTTAATTATCAAAGAAAAATGTTTTTCACCTGATGTAGCACACACTTGAACAATTGCAGCCCATAATGCAGAATGAGATAGATGAAGTCTTACTGAAGCAAGCACTGTAAGAATCCCAGTGTACCAGGATTTCAATGGTACAAAGAGAGAACATACTTAACAACATCTGACCACATAGCATTGGTCTTGGTAGCCTTAGAAGCCTCCCTCATTCAGCTGGTAATAAATACAATGAGCATGGCTAAACGAAGTCACTAAGTGTTGAAACTTATGGGGACCCTTTGGGTCTTCTTTTGTAGTTTCTGAATCTTGGGTCTTCCTAAGTCTCTTAACATGTAACATTTGGGGAATGATAAGTACTCCCTGATTTTCATGCTAAATCTCCTACATTGGTTCTGCATGCAGCTGTTTTTCTGGTGAGAGTTTAATGTCTATGTGTGACCGATTCAAACAGAAGGTTAGGAATGTCACTCCCATGATGACATATCCATCTCTACCACCTCTATATTGTTAAAATATTCTGAGGGTCGACAACCCCTACTTTAAAAAACAATCGAACATCAGTGAGGGGAGACTGCTTTGTGCCACATCAAAACTGTTGGAGATGAACAAATATTAGTAGTATATGACCATAATAATATACAAAATATCAACATTTCATTGCAGTAACTCTACAGCTTGATGAAATATAAAAGTTGAACACGTAAAAGTATTTATGAGAAATACATGATAGATGTAATGAAGTGTGACCATCACAAGATGATTGTTAGTACATGAAATTATAATTCTATGATTGCAAACATGGCATAACAAGGAAAAAGGTAACAAAAATACACACAGTGGAAACATCTCTGAAATCATACATCTATTTGATATGTACATAACCAAAAATAACATTTATTTGATTAATATATCACATAGTCTGTGTAAATCAAACAGTAAAATCAAACATGGATGGAACCAGGAAAATCACAGACAGTAGCCAACAAGTATAAAGGTTTGAGGAATGTTTCTCTCATGAAAAAAGTATACAAATGCCTTTTTCAAGCTGAACATATTGCATCACTTGATAATTCTTAACACTGACGTTGACCTTTCTCTAAACTTGTATTTTGACTTGAAAAAAGTTAACTCATTCATTTGAAACGTGACCATTCAACACATTTTCACAAAGAAACAATAGTCTCTCACTGATGTGACACTTGGGATATGTAATTTGATTACATACACTGTTAATAGTCAAGAGTCAATACGAGAAGGGGTAAAATACTATTATGCATAAGATAAATCCTATACAAATTTGTTAGCATAGTTACAACAGATTTGCAATCAGACTTGGTAACCTACACATGTTAAATAGGCAAAAATCGTAACATTCATTCAGTTCAAGGCAACTTACTAAAGGCTGAATGTAGTACAGTCAAATAATGTTGTGTCAAGCAGGGATATATCAAATTCCAGAAAGTCTCAAGCTCTCCTTACAGACCTGCAAATTCCTTCTACATTTATGATCATTTATACTTAAGTATTTATACTGTTGATGTGGATGTGTGAACTTCCTGAATGTCTTGAACTCATTTGGGAGTCCCAAGTATCCAAATTAAGCATAATATACTCTGATGACTTGAAGAGTTCGAAATTAAAAATCACATCCACACTCCCACTTTCGGCAACTTCAACTTCAACTCACTTCACACACAATTCACTGGCCTTGTTGAAAGTGGCACTATTACATCAAAGGCAGAAGGTTTTCTGACAAAATACCAATATCCAATCAAGCCTAATCAACAAGCCAACCACCGCTCCATGGTGCAAGCTGATACCTGGAAACAAATCCATAGCAAGCTCCTTAAAGGCACAATGTCACACATTTTCGACAATATTTTGGTCTATATTATATATATTGGTGATATAATCACTCGGTTTAGCTTCCTATTGATGCAATAAAAGTCTTGCCTGAAATTGATAATTGGTGAACAGCCTCAAGAGAACACTTACCATATATGGAATCAGTGTATGAAAAAAGGCCCGCCCGAGACAGGCTACATTTCTGAAAGACGGTCTAAATTAACAGCTAGCCAGCCCATTGAGTGGTAAAAACCTATGTAACATGTCCCACACATCTAAGTAATTTCATCATATCTTAAAATCTTTTTTTCAAATTGAGCATTACATTTAGATTTGACAATTACTGTTTGAACATTGAACAATTGTATCGCAGGCTCAAAGAACTGTGTTGACATATATTATAACTAAAACAGCAACACCTATCGATGTGTGGAGTTATGCAGACAAGTAGTAAATACATGTCTCTATTTCTCTAAAAGTGAAAACAATAAATTCTATCAAAA